GAATGATCAAATTAAATGTTAATTGATAGAGTCTGGTAACTTGGCTTCTCATGATGTTCCGCACATACGGTCTGGCATGCGCCGTTGAATGGCTGACAGAGGTGGAGAAATGGAAGATTTTGGAAGTAATTAAAAAATGCGCTAGCAATAATGAAATAGTATTAAATTTGTTATTTCTGGCTGTCGCCATTGCCGATTTCACAGTATTAATTGCAACTACGTCAATTAAAGAAGTACTGATTGTCATTATGATGTGCTGTCATTTTCAGCCATTTTCTGGAGGGGGCGGGTATGGTGAGAGACTATATAATTGTATCTTTGATTCAAAGAAGATTTAATTGAGTGAAAGTTTGATTGTGTTTTACCGTTATCTCACATTAAGATTCAATATTTTCGAATATACCGACTTTCCTTTTTTGCGGTATATTTTACAATGCAAGCATTCATGAAACAGGTCATCGGGTCGGGGTGGGTGTGATTAGGTAGGTAGTGCAATAGATACTTATTTATGCAATGCAATTTTGGAGCTTTACATCTTTGTTTTTTTTTTTGTCCTTCTTCTTCAGACAACAACATTTTGCTAGTATCGATGCAATAATAACGTCTGGAAATCTGGATAGGTCAGTATTATTATTTATACCACATGAAATACTTGCTAAAAGAATAGATCCACATTTAAAAAAAAATCACTGATATTTTTTTTTAAACGGGAAATTATTAGATTTATGTCACTATTAAATGCTAATATCAAACTAACGTGCTCTGATGTAAGGTTGATGCTACGTTTACCTGGTTCTGTTGAACAATGATGTTCTCAAGAGAATAAACTTTGGAATTAAATATTTTCTTTTTTTAATTTAGTCACGCGTTCACGAAAGTTTGATTTCAGGACAGATATTACTCTATGTAAAGCAATATTATAAATTTTCTGCAACTTTGTAAATTGAAAGCATTGTATGTTACATACCATCAATATGCAAAATATACCTACAGTTACAACTTTCTGAAACATGAATTAATATATGCTCATCGTAGTGAAAATTTGTAAACGGCTACCAAATAAGTTGCAATATAAAAGTAGCCTATCAACTTTAGCACTTCTTCACGCAAAGCCTTTGGTACAATGTTTAAAGTATCCAGGTTTTAACGTTTTGTTTACTTATGACTTCAAACTTATTACTGCTCAAATATGTAAGAATCCTAGGATTGTCTGTGGCTGATTAGAATGGCTACTTAAAGTCTTATGATACGAGAAAGCATATCTCAATACTTCTTCATGTAGTTATGAGAATTTTCACAGCATTGCATCTAATTTCTAACCTTCAGTCCACTGGCTTGGATATTGTTTGTTGTTAAAATGTTTAGCTTGTCTTCATGGAGCTACTGCTAAATATATGTACAAAATAAATTTTGAAAAGGCCGATAGCTTTCAATTCATCAATCCCGCAAAATAAACTACTTTATCATCATTGAAATATTGAAATTTCTAGTTCAAGGTTGTCAAAACAAATTACACGAATCAATCACACAATTTTGCAGTTGCGACAATTTATGAACATAAACAAAAACCTCATGCAAAAAGTAAAAGTAAATATACTCATATATTACCAAAATATAATTAGAATAAGCAACACCTTCTACACTTTCCTAACCATCGGTCTCATCTTGAATTGACCCGTTGTACATCATTCGTTAATTTTGTTGTACATTATTCGTTAATTTTGTTAACCCTCTTCACACTTTCCTTTTGTTACTTTACCTACCTACACGCCAGTCGCGAATGCCCCATGCTGTTCGCGCTCAGAGCATTTTCCTCTTTGCACGAGTTTTTGTACCTTACCTGTTTACCGGTTTCGTATGATGTTCGAACATGCCATTTTCCCTTCAAATTAGGTTTATTCCTTGCATTTTTTCGAATACATGTTGTAATCATGCTTAAATTATTTCTCTTAGTTTAAATTGTTGACTACCAGTTACAGTTCTCCATATACCACATTTTCACGTATAATTTGTTCTCACCGTCAGAACATATGTGTGTTCACCAGAGAGATACTGCACTCTTGTATCATGTACATTTATAAACTGAATAAAATTTTATGAAAGACCATGAAAAGGAATAATCCTAGGTATAAATAGTGTATCTGTAAGGTTTCTAAATTATTTAATGATCTTATCTTTTGCCTTCAAGTTATGTCACATAGGAATAAATGTTTTTGAAATTAAACAGGTATTGGGTGGTTCAAAGCATTATTATTCCTTTTATACTGCTTTCTTCTCTAAATATTGTATAAACATGTGTGTGTGTGTGTGTGTATATATATATATATATATATATATATATATATATATATATATATATATATATATATATATATATATATATATATATATACATATATTGTTTACTAACCTAATTCCACCCAAGCAACCCTGTTGTCTGTTACATTATTGCATTTGAAAATAAATGTATGCTGAATGACATGAAAATCGGTTTTTATAACATGTTGAAACCTAACGTAAAATAACGTTTGGATATAAGTGATTTAATGCTTGGCGAACACGTATGTTCATTAACAGTCAAACAAAGTAGATCAAATTAAAATCAAGAAATACGAGATTGATCTTAGCCAGTCATTACCAAAAAACAATGTGAAGGGTCCAAGTAATTCGAACTGAGTAAAATTCTTGCAATGTGTCAAATTTTAAATAAGTATGGAACCCTTAAATTGAATTAACTGTGCATTTAAAATTTTTATTTTAGTCAAGCCAGCAAAGTCTTTGTGAAGGGTCACTTCGACCTTTTGTTCAGGTCAGTGTTAAACTTGAAAGGTCAGCATCTATGACTCATTAAGAATTGACCTGGATATCACACCACGCTGTTCTGAGAAAGTAACATTAGAGCTACCAGCCATATGCGGTTGAGATGAATCCTATGTCAAGTAGTCATTTTCAAAGGAAAGTTTATATGAATCGTATTTCTCAGATTTTAGGCTGTCAAAATATGTCGAAAGACACAATTATCTTGGGGAAAAATTAAGAACCGCTGATTGCGATTGGTCAATTTAAATTAAGGTGTACGCCTTGGAAGCGATGTGATTTAAAAGTAACGACTTTGGTCGAATTTCTAAAGTCAAAATTTCCTGTGAGAGAGACAAGATTTGGCTCCGGGGAAAAACTAGAGAATAGTACTTTCCTCGTTCAAACAAGAAAAAGGTACCAGGTGTCTGTTTTTTTAAGAAAAGACAGGCTTTAGTGCGAAGACACATAAGTTATGAACGAGAACAGCATTAAGGTACGCAATTATAATTTCCATGTAATTTTCTATTTTATTTGTCTTGTGGAGGTGGGGACACGTGTGGTATACTGACATGAAGACAGAAAACTACGCTAGCTGATGCAAATTAGGCGTGGGCATTGTGCTCTTTTCACCACTCGTTATCATGATAAAATAAATCCAAAATAGAACACTGCTATTAAATTTTTTGACGTAAATTTGTTGAATTGAAGTTGCCACTATTATATTATCGATTAAATTTTTGTTTTCATGTCTGAGGGGCTCCTATCATATTATTTCTTCTCAAAAGTCTTGCTCAGTTCTCTGTTGATGTTCTATCTATTCACTCACATCGGGCAATAAAATCAAGGTAGGTCATCCTCAAGATAACGACCGCCAAATCTAATTAACCACCCCATCTTTTTAAGAGAGGGAACGTTACATTCTTCATACAAGTCTATCATGAACGTTTGTAACACGTAAAACTGCCCAAACTCACTGGAGCCCTCACGTTCTTTTAGCTCTTAACTTTCGGAGGTACGGGAATACTACGCGAAGAGCGTAATCCCATAATGCCTTGAATAGAAAAGATTGGTTTTGAGAAACACTGGAACTGACGATGTTTGGGCAGTGTGTCACCTCAGCTATTCAGGTGTTATTTAGCATAAATTTCTGCTACATTTTCAGCACAGTGAATGAAATAAACTTTCCGAAATTACAATTGACATTGAACAAGTCTGATGATACTCTTGATGCTGTCTTAAAGAATTGATCGACTCTATATCTCTGTTATTGCTGATTATAAATGTACCCAATATGAATGATCCTGAACGTTACATAACTGATTTAAATGTATTACATGAAAGTGAACTAAATACAATTTTTTGGGGTTTGACATCTGTGCTTGATTCCTAGATGTTAAACAATTTATTCCTCCTGTAGCGACCTTTGCTGTCACAGGCGTTGCAAATTATAGACAAAAACACTACATAAAAAAATTTTGGTTGCAGAATATATTTATGATTGTGTTAGCTAATCTTATTGCAGATAGAGTGACAACGTAAACATTCAACCGTAAATTACTTATATATTGTGAAACAATTAAGTATAACCTCATGTACATACTTAGATACGCGAATTGTAGGACTTTGCATACATGGAGTTTGTCACTCTTAAAAAACAAAGAAACTCATGCCATCCAGTTGGTTGATATCGACTTAAAACAATCGTCAATATCCATGTTTATTTTTTTTAATGAAATATGATGTTTTATGCAACACACACACACACACACACACACACACACACACACACACACAGAGTTTGCATAATCCTGAAATCCTGTTTAGGAAGAACGGTGATATGTTCGTTTATATATTTAATATTATACACTAATGTTACCTCGCAAAATTATGAAATGAACTTCGTGGTGGGCCTTATCCAGCTTGTTGAGTCAATTTGTTATTGTGCACTTGTTTAAGAGATCAAGAGCGTCCGTTTTGCAAAGTCATAAATGTAGACACACTCCTGTAATTAAAAAGTATTTATTTAATATACACGATACAACACGGAGTTTATTTAGGACCGATCGCTTAATGAATTGATGCGCATGGTATAGTTGGTTTTTATGGTGCTTTTTATACATTTTTGTTATATCATCCTATTGTGCCGAGGAAATGGAAGCTAGCTGCCTTCCCAGCAACACACAGAGGCAGAAGATCTAGCCTGGCCTTGGAGGGTATCGAACCCACGACCATGGATTACGAGTCCGACGCTCGACAAACTGAGCTATTACATCTCCATTTTATCTTCTCGATTCCATCAACCACGGTATATTACCGATTCAGATCGTGTGTAGCGTTGAAAACCTAAGAGCCGCCATTTATCATTAATTTCATCATTCTTCCAATCTAATTTGGAAGGATCAAAATATCTTATTAGAAACGCTGTTAAAAAAGCTGTCTGACATAAATTAATCATGAAATTACATTTAGGCGACGTCCAAGTATTCAGGTAAGAGCATGCATTAGATTAAATAAGCTTCGCTTGAATATTTGTGATCAGCAGCAGGGCGAGAACAGGTCTCGTGTTTGGAGCGATGGTCCAAAAATTTCAAAAGGGCACCAAAAGCGACAGTTTACTTGTCTATTTACTCAATGTGTGCATAATACCCAATAAGCGTTTGCAAGAATGAAACGATGGTCGCATTTTTAAAATAGCTCACTTTGTATCATGGGGTGGGGAGCTGTAGGCCTACCTGTATTAGACTGGACTATAATAAATGCTGTTCTAAGGGGGGAAATACAGGACAATTATTCAAGAGAACTGTTTTGATACATAAGACTTAAATATTTCAGCCATACAATCAAAATTAAATCATACAATAATAATACATATATACTCTTTAAGGTGGCTCTCACCAGTTATTATTACTTTTGAGAGAGTGATGTATGTAACGTAAAGTTGTCTGCATTTAAAACATGCACAGTGGAGAGAAGATTGTCATACCTGTATGCTACTTTCATGTACAGTGTAATATGGCTGACATTTCTTTGGATATTGTACTTTTGGAAATTGTAAATGATTATAGCACACTGCTAAAATGACTTCTCCCTTGTGCTTCAAATATCAACCTGAATTTATCGTACACTATCCTTGGCATTTATTAAAATAGGGAAAATGAATTTTGCTAGACTAGACAATACCAGCTTCTGAAAGTGCAATGAATGAATTACCAGTTACATAAAATGAATTAAAAAAACGTTATCGGCTCTTTCTTTTACAATTTACCTCAAGTTTGGGACGTGAAAATGAGCAAGTGGAGCTAGCACTTTTTGAAAGGTGCTCATTTGCAAAAAGGCCAAGTTGTATACTGCATAACCCATATTACACCCATCAATCATACACCAAAATAAAGGGAACTAATGGTTCTTTGATCAATACCTAAGATATACAAAGTCGTTTTTAAATAGCCTGAATAACTAGTGAGGAAATCCATGGAAATTCTTTTTCTTTAAAATTCTAACCCTATGCTAAATACGAAAATGTAGAGCTCCACCATAGCTTGGTGTTGAATAACGTTTACAACGGTGACATCATCAAATCTTTTGTTCCAGCTTTCGATTAAACTCAGTTGACCCGTGCATGTTGCCGATCAACATCATATTCGTACACGTGAAAAATGTCCGGGTTCCTAAGGTCGAGAGACGTATTACAAGGCTCATAATGTGATCATACATCGATATTATCTGGTTTTACTGGAACCCAGCCATGCTTATATATATATATATATATATATATATATATATATATATATATATATATATATATATATATATCTTTCAAGATTCAGTTTTATTCAAATAATTTGGCATAGACGACTTTTTGCACCTCACTATTGCATTTGGACTTTAACAAAGCTGCATAGACAGAACACACTACATGCCCAAAGTTGAGATAGTTGTCATTGGGCTTTGGAATGTTACTGAAACAACCCATTACTGTTTGACATCCAGTCGATTAAACCCGCCGTTTGAAGATTTTCATTCTTTGAGAATTATTTCAAGATACAGACATCAATACAAACCGTGAGACAGCACATTAAATATTCCTTGCAATTTCTGGAGATTAAGTTCTTATTTATTCTAGTATGGTCGTAATTTCATACAACGTATTGTAACATTTTTAACTTTTTTAAAATTATTTTAAAAAAAAAAATTCAACGATGATGCCATTATGTGTAAATATCTCAAATTGCTGAAATGATAAATTTAACTGTTGATTGTACAACGGCAATAACTTTTACAGCCAAACTCTATGTAATATAATATAACGAGAAGTTATGGTCAAAACTTTAATCTTGCATACATTCCGTGTGACTATATTATATTACCTGAGCAGAATCATTGCTATTTTTACATGAATTAAAACATGATTGCGAAGCGTTTCATTGGGGCCTGCTTCCCCCATTTGGCCTGATTGATGTTCTTCTGCTCATCCCACCATGAAGGAGATTGTTTATAATATAGCAGTCATATAAACAGCGACACATATTTTTGTCACAAAACGGTGGCTGCAAATGCTCAATCCGAAAAGCAGATATTCTAATGAGATATAAGCAGCATTAGATATGCCCTCTTTAATTTCATGTGTGCGTGTGTTTGATTTGGATTTTTAATGTAGCTTTAACAAGTTTTAGGTCATATCACTATTTTTCGGTCATATAAATGGTAACTATAAAGAAAGGTAAATTTAATTACGTTCTCATACAAAAGTATGTCTTGAAATATTTAATAATAGCAAATACATGATGGCACATTACAATAAATTAAAAGCTCATCAGATGCAAATAAAATATGTAAACTACGTCGTACGCCACTGGCAAAAATCATCTACTTTTTATTTTAACTTCAAGCTGCCTCTACGATTTCATCGCTTTACATAAATAAACAAAAGTTCGTCATCAACAAACAATTAAACAAGTTCTTACACACCAAGGGAAGTGCATTGTTTTGTCGGTCGATAAATAACCTTGTTTGGTTGAGAGAAAATTTGATGGGCTTATTTAAACAGCATAAACTGCCATGTTGGGTGAACTTTCCCAAAAAAGTTTATCCCGGCTCACAAAGATGGTTTGAGAAGGTTGAATCATATTCATTAGAATCGACAAAATCTCGTTGCAGGCAACCATGGATGAAAAAGCTTCAAAATTTTTTCCTTTTGAGTTACAACGATTTATGTCCTTTTCCTTGTTGAAGCAATGAGCCAACAATATACACCGGCTACATTACTAAACTTGTTGACTCTCCTGATTAAGCATGGATTTCTCAATTGACTGGAACTTCGGCATATGTTGTTTTGTACGCAAGAATATTTCTGTGGATTTTCAAGTATCAAATCTATGAAACCTGACAGAAAAACGAATTGGACAGAGAGGAGTTTTTACGATTGTTCATAAGAAGGTAGCCATTAGCACAGTTGGTCCAATCAAGCAATACTGTCATAGGTCCTGTTGAAAGTGGCGTTTAGCTTGAATCTATTCTATTATTCATTGGGACCAGTTCAACTGATAATAAACATGCACATTATTTTTCACCAGCAAGGACTTAAAAAAAAAAAGAAACACAAAAATGGCAGAAAAAAGAAGAAACCAACAACGAGCATTACAATATAATTTGAAATTTTTGAGCACACAGTCCAATAAATTTTTTTAAAATACACTAAGATTTTTCTATCATATTCTAGTTAACAAACTCCACCCCACCACCTGAAAAAGATAAACATATTTATATTTCTGACATTTCACCTGCATGATTATCGGGTCCTTAATGCTTTTGGCAACCTAAAACAAACCTGGATTCCTAATAATCATTGTTCTGCATTCAACAGGGGTAACATTTCATGGATGATCGACATTCAATCGTCAGGAGTTATGTCCTTATATATGACCTTAACATGGGCCACAATAAAGGAAGCCATATTTAATTATTAAATTATACAATTTTCGAGAGAACAATGAAATAAAACAAATTAGAATAATTTTAAAAGTTCAACTAACCAGCAATGTACTAGAAGAAGTAACAAGAAAAACAACGAACATGATGGAGAGGTGCAACTGCTTTTACTTGAACTTCTCAAACAGAAAACTCTTCCAGTATGCAATATAAAGATAAAAAGGCTTAAATATATTTTTTATGTATAACAGACTGCAATGCCTATATTATTGCTAATGCAGCACACTATGTCTTCATGTGCATACATGTATTTCGAGATGGACATACATAAAAAAAAATTGTGCATAAAGTAAGAAGTCATTATGAACTTTAAAATACACCAACTTTAAGGCCACGCTAAAATGTTAGCCTGATAGTGGTGGTAATAATGGATTACCTGTATAAATGGCTTTCATAACATTGTCATGACTGAGAAAAAAATGACACATAACTGAACACATGCACATTATATATACTTATACTGTGTAAAAAGACAGATCAATGCAAAAGATATATTCTATGCTTTAAAAAGTTCATTAAAAAACATTTTAAGGATGTCTTTCATTTCAAATTCATGTGAGTGAACTGAGTGCATGAGGTAGAAAAGATAAGGATAATAATAAATGCTATATACTGTACTTTTCTATTATTTCTGTTTTATTAAGTGAAGATGATATACAATATCCATTTTATCTTTTCCATCTTAACCTCCAGGTAGTCTTGAGTTCAGATTTGTGCTGGAATTCTCTGACTTATCTATTTTTTCATATTCCTTTCAAGAAATATTTTTGCAGATGTACAGATATAATTACAGGTAGGAATTTTGACCATTATTTACTACAGTTTGCATATCTTCCTATGACAAGTTTTCTTTGTATCAAAAATCAAGAGTGTATAAAAAGATGACACTATGTACTAAGTCCACTAAAATAAGGCAGCCCATCATTTCGCTGTAATTTCTTTGAAGAAACCAAGGTATATCTGTCTTTACAGTTTTCATAGATATCATGTTCCAAATGTTAAAATGACTCAGTATCAAATAATTCATCTGTGAAAGAAATAATACCATGTTCCCCATAATAAGAAAAATGAATATCCAAATGCAAACAGCAACTGGTCTGGGAAAAATTAAAGGAACTGATAGCCATGTAAATCTACAAGCATTGTACATGTCAAATCTACTCTTTTACTAATGCAAGTTGATGAAATATAATGTCACAAATATCTGAATAATATTTATGATAGAAACAAAAGTTAATTCTGACCAAGAAAATTATCACTTAGCATTACTGTATAGGCATAT